TAGATGTAAATAATGTATCCTCTCTGGACAATATTGATTAGATGTAAATAATGTATCCTCTCTGGACAATATTGAGTAGATGTAAATAATGTATCCTCTCTGGATAATATTGAGTAGATGAAAATAATGTATCCTTTTGGACAATATTGAGTAGATGTAAAGATAAAAAAATACTTTTCTAATCCCCTCTTTTTCTCAAACTTTTTTCAAATACTTCAAATTTAGCGCGGCTTTCTTTTAATTTTCCACACTTTTCATCAGAAGGATTATTTGAAAGTTTTTATTTTTACTTTATTTCAATTTAGAATATAAAAATATGTAGATTTAAAATTTGATTTAATAATTAAAAGCAGGGCATTTTCTAGCTAGCTATTAATCACCGAATTGAAAAGAACGAAGTGATAAATATCAGAAATACATTTGTTTGAATTGCAGAACTTTTCCCCGCCATTTTTATCTTTAAAGAGTCTGTTTCCCAATTTAAAATATTATTTTCTTTGATGCTGCCGTCCTTTAAACTATCAGTTTTAAGCACAGTCCCTTTATAACCATCTAAAGAGTAAACTAGTTGAGATCTCTGTGAGTTAAAACTAGGGCTGTTCAGAGGAAACACAGAATCTAGACTAGGACTGTTCGAAGGATACACTGATTTTCTGGTTGGTATATTAAGAGGAGGGAAATGTTGGAAGGTATCTGTAGGGTTGGGTTGGGCAGGACGGATTTCTCTGGGGTTTGGTTGAATACTTGTTCCTCCAGGGTTAGGATGAATGCTGTTTTCTCTAGGGTTGGGTTTATAACTAGTTCCTCTGTGCTGTAAAGACGACCTATGGTAGGGAGGATACAACCCAGGTAGTGCATCACGGTCAACTGAAAAAAAAAAATCTTTAACTTTAACAAAAACTTTAAATGTTAATTTGTTCTCAGTATGGAAAATAATAGATAATTCTCCAAATTAAAAGTTCCTAATGCGTTGAAAAAAATCTTTAAGCCATAACATAAAGCATCACTGAAAACTTGAAAAGGACGGTATTAATCTTTTCCAAAGGCATTCCCAAAATGCGATCTGCCTTCTTTTGGCTTTCAATAATTGGCAAGATCTATTATAGCTGAAGAAGATGTATTTGCTGTTAGCTAGTGTAGCTGTGAGCCAGTAGTGGGCTAGTGTATACCTGGAGTAGATGTATTGAGCTGTGGAAGATGAGCTAGTGTAGCTGTGAACCAGTAGTGAGCTTGTGTATACCTGAAATAGATGTATTGAGCTGTGAAAGATGAGCTAGTGTAGCCGTGAGCCAATAGTGGGCTAGTGAATACCTGGAGTAGATGTATTGAGCTGTGAAAGATAAGCTAGTGTAGCTGTGAGCCAGTAGTGGGCTAGTGTATACCTTGATTAGATGTATTGAGCTGTGAAAGATGAGCTAGTGTAGCTCTGAGCCAGTAGTGAGCTAGTGTATACCTGGAGTAGATGTATTGAGCTGTGAAAGATGAGCTAGTGTAGCTGTGAGCTGTATAATCATATCTGAAGGCAGATGAACCATGTCTAATAAAATATAAAAACCCATGTCAATAATAAATAATTTATTTAACTATAGAAATAATAAAATAGATTTTAAAGGAACTGTATACGTAATTTAAAGTGATCTTCGCAATGTTACTCTTTAAACCTTTGCCGCGGATGATCGATAGCGGAGACATCCGCGTTTACTTGCAAAACATTGTTTTAAAACTATTCAAGGAAAACGGGGTTCACCCAAGTGAGCAGTGTAGCTCTACGCAGGTCCTATGTATTAAATGTCCTACGTGGTTTTAAAATGTGTATTTTTTGTGAGCCCCGGAAAAAAAAATAATAATACCTTTTAAGCAAAAACATCTTGGATACAAAGTTAACAACAATTCTTCGCGTTTATGCCGATTAAATAATAATAACTCCGGGATCCCTTTTCAGTCAAAGGTTTAGAAGTACCATTGTGAATCTAACGTGCCACTCTTGAAATTACTTTTAGAGTTCCTCTAGTCTTTGTTTTTATCTAAGCATATAAATTTCAACAAAAACAAATATTATCTATTTTCGTAAATCTGAATAATCACAAAATTTTAGGGTTTCCTCACAGGCACGCGGTTACCGACAAAAGATGATGTTTTGTTGAAAAAAATGGTAATAGTTGATAGACAACAAAAAGCCCTAATTAGATGCAAGCTGCAGGGAAGAAGGAATAAAATCAAAAAAAAAACATTTTCATGCTTTGAGATCTGTTGTTTGAAAGAATACGTACAGTTAACAATACAAAAAGTTTTCAATTTCAAAACAGTTTCTTTAAATTTGGCCTTAATATTTCAACTATTTCACAGGGGTCCATATAATTCCATTTTCAATCCCATTTGGGATTGAAAAATTTCAAAGAAATAGGGGCAAATTTTTTTAAATGATAATTTTTAAAAAATTGGGGGCATTTTTATTTAATTAGGG